GCATGGTGCAAGCCATTGAAAACAATGGGTTTCAAAGCAAAGCAGTGAGCTCGAAAGGACAGTAGGAGCTAAGACCATACCATACCAACTTTATTTATGAAGCACTTTATGCACCGGACAGGACCAAAGTGCTGTACACAATCATAAAATACAAGTAAATACAAGTAAAACCTCTCAAATTGTGCCAAAAGCCAAGGAAAAAAGATGAGTCTTAAGAAGGGACTTAAAAACAGCGAGAGAAGAGGCCTATCTTATGCTCAGAGGCAGATCATTCCACAGCTTAGGAGCTGCCACAGAAAAAGCACGGTCTCCTTTGAGCTTGCATTTTGACTTTGGGACCCTCAGAAGCAAGCTAAGACTTGGTCTCCGGTACAAAAAACTAAAATCCCAGCTCAAACATTGACTGTGCATCCAGTTGAAAGCCCGTCCTGGAGAGAGGAGCATTTGATGCCCATTATAGATGTACATCTTGTATCTTAAATTATTTCATGCAAACTCATTATTGATCTACATCAGAACCAAATTAGGTGCAGAATTAGACCGTTTCATCAAAGAGTTTTTAAGGCCATAGCACTTGAAGGTAACTCAAAGCTTTATTGAAATGTTAAAGACTTTAACATAATCAGAAGTGCGTGATATATCCACTTGTCTTTATTTGTTAGTTAATTTAAAGCAGTTTTTTTATATAGTGTCAATCCACAGCATATGTCATCTCAAGGCACTTTACAGAGGCAATGCAATCAGAATGATAAGGAAACCAGTCAATTGCATCCAGTCATTTACTTGCAGGACATGCTCCTCATAGTTGAGCTTGCGACGACGATTTTCGCCTGCATCTTGTGGTTGACTCTTCAGCAATCCTTCACACCCAGCATGCATGACATTGGAGAGGAAAAACTCCCTTTTGAAAAGAAGAAACCTCTAGCAGAACCAGGTGCAGTGAACCAGCCTCATGCCGAGGAGATAGACGGAGACACACAGAAAGAAGAAGAGATACAAAAAGTAAATGATAACTAGCTCCACATATGAGCCTTATCCAGGAAAGACACAGCCAGGCAGACGAGCTCCGAGCCAATTCTCTTCTCAGAGAATGAGTAACTACAGTAATACCACTTCGTGAATGGCTGCCTGTTTACAGTGACCTCTTGTTTCGTGAAGACATACATTGGTTTTGATTTGATGATGAATAAGGGATGATGAATGACTTCTTATTGAAGATGGAGGCTAAGATGTAGAGCTGGTAACCTAGAGCAGCTGACCTGCTGGAAACTACACAACTTTTTAACCGCTAACAGATTCTCACCTCTGATGACAAGCTGCATTTTTTTCAAACTAAAAGTAGAGACGCAGCATGTGCACACAGGTACGAGACGGCTGTGCTGTTGTTTATAGCTGTCCCCACAGCAACACATATGACTAGTACTGTAGACAGTTTTGTCTAGACAAGGCAGTGGAAGAGCTGCCATATAAAAATATATCCTGATGCTGGTTTGAAAATCATTCAATCTCTCACTGGAGAATTTTGTACCAATAAGCCACGGCCCAGGTAGAGGGAAGACACCTCTGACGTCTCTGTCTTAGGAGAGAAATGCAACAGTTCTTGTAGTTGTACTGTCTGGAAGCTCTTCGAGCAATGAGCTCATACTTCTTGGTAACTTGGCTGTGGTTACTCTACTTGGGCATCTTTTCTGATATACTTTTTCCCTCTAAAACGATCCATTGATTCTGCAATCTGTGAAGAATCACAATTTTTAGCAAAGAGCTTTTGTCCTTTACTCTCTTATTTGGTAGACAGTGAAAAGACACCATTCTTATAGGCCAAAATATAAAATTTCTGTGTAAAAAAACTAACAAAAACCCTTACCCCTAACAAACAATTCACTTTTTGATGCCTTAAAATAATCAAGTTTAAACAATCTAACTGAATGATATAAAAACCTTCTTTTTTTTTACTGATATATGCCTCAAATCACATGAAATAACTTGTTGTCTGAGCATAAATCTGTATCCGATATTTAAACATGTTACAGGCCATTGTAGTTCTTAATTTAGTTTCAATCTGTGTGTGGCCCACATTTTCTGAGCCAATAAAAAAACTCCAGCCTCCTCTCCCTTCCTCTGAGAGGTTGTCGACCCAGTCAGTGTCTCTGTTGTTCATGACTGACCCAGAGGACCACACAGCTATCAGGCCACCGCGTTGATAATGCCAGACCACCAGAGAACTTGAAGGGAGTGAGGAATAAAATCAGTGAAAGTCAATGAAAACGAGCAACGCAGAGGGTGGTGCAGCTGAACATATATCAAATCTAGATAGAGTCAAAGGGGGAAACCCAACATGAATCTAGTACCGTAACCACCGTAGTTTCAGGATAGGAGGTGAATGCATAGCACCCTTGCAGGAGAAAAAGTTAGAGTTACTACTAGTCAATGTAGTCCAATGAAAATGTTAATTTTGATTGGAAATATGTATATTAAATAAAAATTGTGTACGTTTAAAGCAATGTAGGTACATATTAAGTAAACAAATACACTACTGATAGTATTTTTCATTCATATTATGAATCACATTTAATTTGTATCTGTGAGAAACTGAGTATGTTTGAGTCGCTGATGAGTCGTAAGCTGCTGCTCTGTGACTGGCTCTAGATGAGTCAAAGGTAAAAACCCAGGGTTTGGTGGTCCTTGGCTTTAACTTGGGGCCCCTGTGAGGGGCCTCTGAGCAGGATACAGGAAAGTTGGAATAACTCCTCTGGAATCTGTTTGGATCTTTAATGTAATAAAGATTTTTTCCAGGCAATAACTCGACACCTGACTCACTAAGAAGCTGCAGAGATTTGATCAAGCTTGCAGTAAACATTTGTTGCCTCAATTTCTGTTTGATTGTAGATTTAAGATAGATTTATCCTGATTTTCATTAATATAAATTTATTTGATAAAATGTAATCGCTTGAATATGAATGTATAGTCTAGAATTAATTGTGTGTTGTTGTATGTCTTTTTTTGTTTGTTTAATATGTTGTCATTCAATAGATGTCTAAAAAATGTTTTCAGTACAAATATAGATTTTTTTTTTTTATCCCTTTGCTAATGGGATTTTAGTTTAACAATAAGCAGGATCATGTTCAGTCATGGCAGTTTATCTGACTCTCAAGAGGCAATAAAAGGCATATAATGTCTTAAAATACAGGCATATTTCATGTTAAAGTGCATTAAATAGCTAAAACTGCAAAACATATGAGAATAAAGTTATAGCGCCACAGTAGTTTGCAAATGAAATGAAGAGAAAAAGAGTTTTACAATTACGTTTTTACAAGTGCAATCTGCCCTTTTTAATACTTCCATCTGAGCCTCCAACAATAACGCTGAAGTGGACCAATAAAAAAAATGATCTGGCCTCCCTGCTGTAAGCAGTCCTGGATTCCTAGATTCTATAAGTCTGGCAGTATCTTTAGTATCAGTTAAACCAGAAAGCAAATGGCTAATCACAACTAGGGGTGTACATAATAATCGTTTTGTATCGATGCATCTATCCAACAGCCGACGATCCGATGCATCGAAACGTCCGCAAGAGAATCGATTCATGCTTTTTTTTTTCTCCGGTCTTTTTTTATCCATTTGCTCCTGGGCGTAATTCTCCCTCCCGTGCTGCGGTGTCGCTAAACCTATTTTGCCCTCCTACCTCACTTCCTGGTTATACTCTTACAGCAGTGTGTTGCAGTAAGCTTGACACAGACATTTTTTATTTATGCCCAATATTGAAGCGTGGTCTAGCGAGTTTAGTCCGACGACGGAGGGACATGAGGACCAAAAAGAGCGGAGATCCAGGTGGAAAAATGGTCCGAGCGTTCTCGCGCACCTCACTCTTCTAGAGGGTCAAACTTCACGAGTTGTTTTCCGCAATTTGCGATCAGCTACAATTTGGGAGAGGTGTAGCGGAGCGTCTGTGGAGGGGGCGGGGACGTCTGCAGCTGAGGTGTTGCATTGCACTCATTGCACTGATTTTGTGCAGTATTTTTTGATGCAAGGCCTTTCAGAATCTATAACGCAGGGGCATTATTATTTTTCAGTGAATGAGGTTTTAATAGGAATAGGTGGAGTAAAACTTTTCTACTTCTGTTATTTGCTGTTGTTTCTAAATAAAAAAAATGCATAACAATATTACAGCTTTCATTGATTTATTTCAAATTTTAAACATTTTCCAGCAAGTAAGGTGTAAAAAAAAAAAAAAAAAAAAAAAAAAAAAAAAAGAAAAATGAACCAATTAATAGATTCAAATCATATCGTGGTGTATTCTTGAGTATCGGAAATAATCGAATCGTTGGGTCAGGAAATCGATACTGAATCAAATCGCTATGATGGATGTGATTTACACCCCTAATCACAACCAACTCATGATTTGACTAAAAGTTTTTTCATTTTCAAGCCAGGTTAATTTTTTTTAATAAAGTTTATAGGCATTTTCTACCACAACAAGTTATTTCAAAAAGGCAAAATCCATGAAGGGGGAATTGTCTTTAATGACACCCAGTATCCATTTTGTTATTCATCAAGAAATAAGACTGCTAATAGCTGTCTATAGCATTGAGTTCAACATGCAGTTACATTTGTTACAGGAAGTTTTATTTGTAGATCAATACAAACAGCATGTTTTCATGTCTGTCTTCTTCCTCAGGGGATGTGTGTTTTGTGCATGAAAGGGGTTTGGGCATGGTTACACAAACTCATCCAGACAGGAAGGAAGTAATAAAATAAGATAGCTGATTGGGGAGATAGGTGAACAGGCAGATAAGATGTTATAACTCTTCGGAGGAAACGTAGGTAGTCTTGAGAGGAAGAAAGCGTTACGTAAAGATTGTTTTTTTTTACACTTCTTATTAACTGCGAAATCACAAGGTTCTGCGTTAATGACCTTAACATACACAGATATTAAAATCATTATAGCAATCATGTGGCTAACGCTCCTTCTCTTTTTTCCTCTTTTCTCGAATCCTCTGAATCAGCCACTCAAGACTGCAGCTGCCAGCTTCTTAATGGCTTCCAGATCTTCACATCTCTTCCTGCGATCATTCCCCCTCTTTTTCCCCGTCTCTGTGTTTCTCCGCTCCATCTCAGATGAACAGGCGGAAGTGGAAATCCGGCGAGCTCCAGCCAGTGAGTCAACTCACAAACCACCCATTTAAAAACAAAACAACCGAAAGGGTTTTGAAGGAGCATTAGATGTTGTTTTTCATAAATCACTTTGAGGGTTACTGGGGAAATTTAAAACGGAAGGCTTTTAATGAGTGAATAAGTGAAATGTGTGTGCTTATGCGCAGTAAGGAAACATACAGAGAACTGCGGTTGAAGGTGTTTACATTAACTGGATGACTGTTGGTTATTGGGGATGAAAAGGTTTTATAGTTTCAACCAAATGCAGAGTTACAAGCTGATGAAGGTGTGTTGAACAGGAAAAAAGACAGTAATTCAACTATATTACATACAATATATGTAGATGTATAATGATAAATAGTCTGTTAAAAATGTATTTAATTTATCTTGAGCCTGTATATCCCTGTCTGGTCTGTTCACCTGAACCATCTTTGGACTCCTGCTGGATTCTGCTTCTGATCTGTGCGTTTCTGTCTGAGCTGGTCGCCCGATGCATGGAACATTGAACCTGCCTTCATGCTCTGTGGAATCCTGGAACCCTGGATCTGTCGGTTCCTGTTTGGATTGGAACCCCTGATCGGGCTGAGGACTCCTGGATTCCAGAACTGTTCCTGTCTGATCTGTATTCCTGACTTGCATCGGATCCCTGCCTGCTCATTGGAACTGCTGCATCCGTATGCTCTGGATGGCCCAGGGCCACATCTCGTTGGCAGTGCATCGGCTGATGGACTGAGAGGATGGACTGAACTTTCAAACCTGTTAAGTGACTCACACAGACAATGATGTGTCAGATTATTGTGGTCACTTACCTGTGTTTCTCCTTCCAGGGTGTCAGTGATTCTGTTCTGTTATATTTTTGTTTAAATAAATGTTTTGAACTTCCCTACTGACTGTCTCACCTTGTCCATCTGTCCCGTTTTGGACAAATATGTTTGAGGCTCTATCTCTAAGCTATGTTTTTAATTTGGCAAACAAGTCAAAAAAAAGAGGGATCAAATGTGGGGTTCCTCAAGGTACCCTTCTTGGTTCACTGTTTAATCAATATCCATTTGTTTTCCCAGGTCAGATAATGAAGTTCCACATTACTTTTTAACTCCTGTCTTAATATGCTGATGACGAATATTTTTAAGTATGACCTCATGACCGCAGTCCATCATGGGTACCGAGTCAGTGCCGTCATTGAAGTAATGAGTGAAAGGAAAACAATTTCCTCTAATATAATCCTCCCATAAAGAGCAAATTATTGTAGCAGCAATCTGGGCAAATGTACACTGCAGACAAACAAAATAAGGTCCAGCTTGGTCAGGTTAACAATATGATACCCAGGGTGTCTGTGGGAATTTAACTGGGTACTTGCAGCCTTCTCAGAGGACAAGCACACTGCTCTAACCACTAGGCCAAGGCCAACATTCCCCAACAAAACAAGCCAACATGAAACTTCTCTCATTTAAAAGTCTAAAAGGATAAAAACATAATTAGTTCTGACTGTAGGTGAATAACAGTGACCAGAAGGCATCAAACTAAAACAGGGGGATAAAATGTGCCTCTGATCTTAGTCTATGATGTGACCAGATTTCTTTGTGACTCAACTCTCCCAGAATGAGGCCAGGTCTCATGGTAGAACGCCAAGGATTAATGTACATTAACAATATTGTTTAAATTGTTTTGTTTTTTTCTCACGGACAACCAAACTAATAGATAAAAGAAGGCACGAAGATTTCCAATATATGAGCAATACCAAACTCTTGGAATCCCCCTCAATGACACCAAGCAAATGGAGTTTGCTCAAAACATGTCTCTGCTGCCCTTTCTTAAGCAATGATATCTGTGTTCACATCCTCTGTTTGTCAAACACACTTCCCAATTACTTGTGATTATTGACAATCTGCTCCTCTTCACCATGTATGACACTAGATTTATGCCTATTTCAAAATTATGCTTTTTTATTGCTTATCTTTAAAAAGATCATGCAAACAGTCCCAAATACACAAGGTTATAAAGCAGCACTGAAATTGACTTAATGAAGTTAAAGCAAAAAATGAAACTAATAAATCTTCATAAAAGTCCATCATAACATCAGTCTACCTTATCTGACACAATAATGGAAAAACAGGTCTTCTAAAAACTCTTAAACTTTGTAGCTTAGATTCTAATAATAGAATAGAATAGAAAATCCCTTTATTGTCCCACAATGGGGAAATTCTGTTGTTTACAGCAGCAAAAACATTATAAAATGGTCTCACAAATGTGAACCTTAGAAAAATGTATAAGAATAACATAAAAGTGAAGAGTTAAAAATTAAACAAATAAAATACTATACTGTAAAGTCTTTTAACGGTATAAAGCTGTGCACCTGCAGAATAAATAACCAATATACAGCTATAGAAATGTTTACTTTAATGGATATTTGAAAATAGAGGCAACATCAGAGATGTGCAAAATGATAGCAGCATGTTATTTAACTAAGGTAGAAACTGTGCAAAATCAGCAGAAATGTAACAACTTATTATAATGGTGTCTATGCTGATCAATAGACAAAAAAATCAATCAGGCAGCTGCAGATCATACAAAAAGCTGCAGCTGCAGTACTGGTTAACAGCAAATAAAATGGCTTATCTTACATTAATTTAAAAACCACCGCCTAGCTCCCTCTTTTGAGAAGGTTTTCTGGTATTGGATGGGCATGATCGATCACATAATATGAGACTTATGGTAGATACACATAATTTTAGAACAATCTCTCTCCAATCTATAACTTATATTAAATACTCTTACACATCCTTCGGGTAAGGGATGCATAAAAAAATATCAGATGTTGATATTGCTATAATAGCTCTTAATTAATATATACCAATATCATCCAAATTGTTAATATCTCCCTACCTTTTAAAAATAGTGAGGCAAAAACATAAAACCACTGACTTTGCTTCAAATAGTTAAACAATCCACACTACAGTGCAGCAAAACTGCCTCTGTCACATGTCCTATATAAAATTAAATAGCCAACTTCCTAACTACTAAAGTACAAACAGGTGGTGCAACAAAATAGAAATGAACATTGATTATAATTTCTGTTCCAGTTTTACAGCAGCCAACATTTTACCAAACATTGGCTGCTATTGAAATAGATGTCAATATATCATGGATCCATACATTGAATAATTTTTCTTATTTTGAACCTTTTCTACCTTGAACTTGATCAAACTTGACTTTATCAAGTTTCTCCCTTGTCCCTTCTCCATTATGCTCTACAAATAAATTCACATAAAGCTTTTTCATAAGGTTAAATGGAGCTTAGGCAGAAGTTTAACTGAAGAAATGATTACTTACCATCATGTACCTCCGACACAAGCCAATCAGCTTTGAACCACGCCTCCATGAAACCCAATCAGCATCCATAGTTCATCTTAAAAGGTCTCCAATCCACTAGTTAGTCTGCTACCCCAAGCTCAGGCAGTGGTTGCGCTATGTCAGACGACCCTGATTCAGCCCACCTCCAGCCCCTTCTCCACCATCCTAAATAAAGCTTCATCAGAGTGTCTTTCTTCCCGGACTCTTACAGCGTTCCCTGTCTCATCTCAACCGGTCGTCCGGCAGAAGTCCGCCATGTTGAGCCTGGTTGAGAGTTTTTCCTCTCCACTGTCGCTTCAATGCTTGCTCATCATTGACAGGTTCATGCAACCTGTGTTTTCCAAGCTGGACTTCCATCTTCCAGATCTGAGTGAAACTCTAGTATCAACTCACGCAGCCTACTTCAACAATCTTCACTCCACCAGTTTCAGGCCTGGGGAGAACATACCTATTCTTTACTCCTTTTTACGCATATTAAAGCAAAATTCAGAACTAATGTTTCCTGCTGAGGTCTGAGCACCAGAGACTAAGTTAATTGTATCAAAATTATTTTTATTGTCTTTTCTTTCCGTGTGAATTTTTCAGATTGAATTAAGTTAATATGTTAGGCAATATTAGGATATTCTGCATAATATAAACAAGTGAAGAGAAGTTAGACCACAACCATCATCTGTTATTGATTTATTAAATAAATTAAATAGTGGTCAAGGGCAACAAGTTGGTATTAACTTAAATTTAAAGCAACTTTAGATTGAAGACTTTCACTTGTAGACTAGTACAGCATAAGAACTAAGCACTTCTTTTCTATTTTTGGTTCTGGGTATGCAGAGTAGAGTTGATCATAAGATAAGATAAGTTGTCTGGAAAGACTATGAACCTAAAAGTCTGTCATGTATTTTGGAGCAAAGCCATTCAGGGAATTATAAACTAACAGCAGTTTTTTAAAGTTCGTTCTCTGAGATGCAGGAACTTCAAAACTGGGGTCATGTGTTCTACTTTCTTACAGTAGTTTTGTTGAGGATGCAGGCAGCAGCATTCTGGATCAGCTGCAGCTGTTTCATTGACTTTTTAAGTAGAGCTGTGATGATTTTATTGCAGAAGTCAGTTCTACTTAAGCTTAAGATTTCCAGCAGACGTCCTGCAAGTAAGGCTGTGTACCACCCTTTGATCTCTACTTTGGCCAAAAATTATTACAGTATTTTAAGTGCAATTTGTCTTCAATTGTACTCAATGCATAGTTAAACCTTCATGGCAGCAAAAAGCACATCAATAAATAAAGTCTGACAGAGGATTTGGAGCAAATGCAGCCCTTTGTTCACATCCAAACTATCGGGTAGAACAGGCACGTCTGCTGTGTTTTGATTTATTCATGTACTGACACAACATAAGCAGATCACACCATAAAGCTGCTGAAGGTAGCAGCCTCAGCACTGCTTCATATCAAGTGTTAAATGACATTTTAATGGCAACAAGCATCGTTGTGAAGAAAGCTAGTTTTTACAACTGCTTTGATTAGTCACTGTGAGTCACCAGCGGCAGAGGCAGCAGCATTAAGGCCTCGTGTGTCAAACATCCACACTGGTACAAAGCGCTCAGTGAGACTGAGGTCCATCAATCACTTGAGGTCACTGCGGTCCAGCTGGTTGGACAGTGGATGGCTGCCCTGTTGTTGGACTTTGTTATGCGGTGGTAGGTGACATCATCCTTTGTGGAGCCTGTCATTAAAGAGTTATAAATATCCCCAATGTGTGTTTGAGAGGGACAGATGAAGCAATTGGGAGGAGAGAAGCTTGGACCCCCAGAGCTAAGAGGCCCCTAATAGGAGGTCTGAGAGGGTTATTATGGAGTTCAAAGGGCCCATTGGGGAAAGTACCTGACCACAAATCAGTCAGCAGAGCAGATTGTCATATTGTCACACAAAAGTTGGCATAAAAATAGGAGGGAAAAAGTCAAACTGTAAAGTTGGTGGTTTTTTTAATGAGAATTTAAGCACTTTCCATTATGGTTTGCTCTCTAAAACTGCTGTAAAAGCTCCCACATTTGAGCACTGTCATCACTTTACAAGCATTCGTCAGCATGTTGTCGCACAAAATGAAGCTGCCAACAGCCAGACTCCTCAAACACATCCACTGACTCACTGCACTCGCTCCCGTACGACCCGATCACTTAAAACAACTGTTTAACGCTGTCACACCTGCAAGAACAAACCTGAGTGGCAAAACGAGGGTGTGAGCAAGCAGAAGTTCAAGTTGTTGCTTGCTTTTTTTTCTTGTTTTGTTGTTAAGGTCTTGTTATCTGCTCTAGTTTCAAAGCAGGCATCTCTTAGCAGCAGGGGTGTGGGGGGGCCGCATGTTCGGGTAACAGCCGCG